CCTTCTAATAGCCAACTGCCATCACGGATTGTGCATCTTGTTCCTTCAACTCGGGAACCTTCTCGGACAAGAACCTTGCCAAGCCGAGAGTTGCTAGGTAGAACAACATTTTCTGTTGCCACCTCTTGAAGTTCGAACCAACACCAGTGAACTTCTCCGGCTTTTCAGCCGAACCACTCGGTACCGAAGGTACCCAAGACATGGGAATATATCCCTCAGTGCTCCCACCATCTTGTGAACCAACGTTCACTGGTGTAGCTTGGGAATTAGCAACATTGTTGCCATTTCCTCCAATGTTATCCGCAACAACGTTATTGTTGTCGTTTCTTCCATTGTTGTCCACAACAACATTATCCTCCCCATCGATTGGCAGTACGGGATGCTCCATTTTCTTCAAGGAAATTCAGAGAAACAACCAACGGGAAAACAAGATATAAGGTTTTAAGACTATTGGAACCGTTGGTAGAAAAAACAAATAATAATCAAATAAAATAAGATTATTATTTTTCTGGAAAGAATAGGGAAGGAAAGATGGAGACAAAAATGGCTAGTGTTTGGTGTTGGGTTTTTGCAAGAGTCAAGTGAGCACTCTTTCCTTAAAACCTTATTTGCCACCTCCCAAAGATGCTAGGAGCTTAGTGGCCTAGGTTTCCCAAGATAAAACTTGCTAGTGATTCAATGTTTGAGCACTCAAACAAGGAATCCGACGAGCAAGACACGACTATGAACACAGTATAGCTAAAGAAAGAGTAGAAGCAGAGAGGTTTTGAGGCAAAAAGGTGAACTTTCGTGTTCTATATTTTCTGTGTGTTCTCTCTACTGCCCAACTCCTCTTTATATAGGGGTGAAGGATTTAATAGCTTTTAATTAGGCACTTAAGGGCACCCCTCCACCTTCCTGTAACTGCACCATTAACATGGCCTTCAATTCAAAATTAAAAATTAGAATTAACTCAAAAGATTAATTCCGTAATAGTAGAATTGAACAGCCAACGGTCACAAAACTGCACAGGTTCGTGTAGGCCGAAACTGGACAGTAGACTTCACTAGTTTCGGCCTTGGCCGAGGGCCCGCAGGTGCCGGCGCACACGAGCTCGAGCTTGAATCAATCCTTTTCAAATCTCTCACTACGAAGAATCCGAATCCACTTTAACCCGACCCAAATCGGAAGTGGACTCCACTGATAATTGTACCACAAAATAGCCACTTAACATGCCATTTATGCCATTTTAAGCTATTTTTTCCAACATTATTTTTAACTAGTGTGAGCATTGTTTTTTTTCTCATGCAAAGACCTTGATTTTTGCAGGAGAAGAAAAAATAAATAAATAAAAAGGCAAGAGAGCGCACTACTCGCCCCAGCGGGCGAGTGTTTCCCACGCGCCTCCTGGGGCGCTTCAACGGCCACTCTGAAATTTTGACCGTTGCATCCTTTTTTTTTTTTGTTAGAATATTTTTTTTCCTTTTCTTTTTCTCTTTCATTTTTTTTATCTCTCTCTCCTACTTGACTTCCTAAAATTCAACCAAAAAAACCTTGACGATTGAGGATGCTCCTATATGAAATCACATATCTCAAATATTGTATGGAGAATTTTTTTTTTTTTTGAGAATATAATATTTTTATATATCAACGAGCTAGTATTATATTTGTATAGAAAAAGTATTGCATTTTTACTGCTAATACTTATCAAGGAATACGTAATACTCTACTTTTCAAAGTCCATAGCCACCACCCAAAGGTACGTTTTGGGTGAAACCATCATAGACGAAAATGTCAACAAACAGCTCATACAGTGAGTCGAACTTGAAACCTTGTGGTTATCAAATCCAGTGTTGCAAAAATCGCGCCTAGGCGCTAGGCGGTCCCCAGGCGCCTAGCGATTTTTTCAACATTGATCAAATCAATTATTTGACTAATTTGGTTGGGAGTTGCCTTTTGATAAAGTAATACTCAACCTATACATTTTTTGAATGCTACTGACTCTATTACAATGTAGTATCTGTTCATACATACTTTCTCAATCTACTGAAGCATAAAGAATCAATGCACCCACACTGGGGTTCGAACCTGAGACCTCTCATTTGAGAAGCCACAACTAATATATATATATATATATATATATATATTTTCACTAAAATGTATTATGTATTTAATATTCATCTCACATCAAACAATCCCACACAAATAAGTTTTTTAATTTATTAAATATTTAGAAAGTATGTTTTAAAAAATGTAATCATATCAATTGAATGGAAAAAAGAAATAAATTATATATTGGCATACAACGAAAATGCCCCTTTTTGGCAAAAAAAAAAAAGGAAAAAAAAAGGAAAAAAAAAACATTCTAATTAGTAAAGGATAATATAGAAGATCATGTGTATGAGAATAATGTCATATTGATAAATAATTATTTTTGTAAAAAAAAAAAAAAAAAAAAAAAGAACCATCCGATGTGAATCATTTGATTGACTACTGATTGATTCATGAGTCATCATGATTTACATCCTCTCAAATGTTTTATCAGGTCGAAGCGTGAGAACCTTTGGGATTGAGAATTACTAATTAATTAACAAAATAAAATTACTAATTAATTCATAAAAATTGAACATAGTGAAATAGTACAAATAAAATGGAGATCGAGCCACATGCACAACACAGCATAATGAAATTAATTTGTATAAACTCACAGACACATCCACTTAAAACAGTAATTTTTAAACGGACCTTTAATTTATTAGCAACTTATCATTGCGTTGTTTATTAGTGCGTTTAAAACTATTTTTTTATTTTATTTTTATTTTTTTTATGTCCCAAAAGAAGATGGAGTGGGACAAGAAACAAGAGTATCAGATGAATGAATTCAATTAGAAGTTGGAAGGAATTCAAAGCATGAGTGGTCAATTTTCAGAAAGTTATAAATGCATTGTTGAAGCATATATGAAGACTATGTCCAAAACTCTAATTTGTTTTATATATGTAAAGATTTGTTTTTCTTTTTAATTTTTATTTATTTATTTCTTGTGTTTGCCTACTCCACATATACTGCCAAAATTCTCAAAATCTTGACCCACCCATCATAATGCATCATTCATGGTCCCTCTCATCATTCATGGCATTAAAAAAATAAATAATAAATAATAAATAAACATGAACAGGAAGCTAGCTAGCTAAACAAACTGCCAAAACTACTAACAGAACAATGATATATATATATATATATATAGTGTGTGTGTGTGTGGTATTTTGTATTGTCTATGTATGGTTGTCTGTGTTTGTGTGTATGCATATGTGAGTTACTCTTGCTGTTAAACCTTAAACCTTAATTAGGTGTTAATTACACTATTTTTGTCATCAAACATCACACTGAGGAATCATTCTTGCTGTCTGAAATCACTGCAAAAGTAATGCCTACATACAAGGAATGGCTTTCCAACAAATGGAAAAGCATGGCCAAATAGGTTAGATGTGAATTGTGGTTTATTTACAATGCATAAAAGTGAAAAAACGCGTAAGGGAGAGGTTCAACTCATTTATGGTAAAGTGTCATTTCACTGTTACATCATGGTTCTACACTATCTTCAATAACAAGATTCTATTATCAAAGTAAATATGACCCACATATAAATTATTATCATCATAACATGTGATACCTCGTTAAGAGCCGTTACTATTTATGCCACTATAAAGACTTTAGTGGACCTTCATATATGTGGTTGGTCTCTTTCTTGAATTTAAGTGATGCAAAAGCTAGTGCCTATATATATGCTCCATCTAATACTACTACATGTCTACATGTGAATCTTTTCTAGCTTCTTCTTCTTCTTTTGTTGTTGTTGAAAGTATACAAGAGTTTTCCATGTAGATCATATATATATATATATATATATATATATATATATATATATATATATATGCAAAATTTTAGTATTTGTTGAAAGATTTACACTCAACCAACTCTAAACCAATTAGTGAAGCAAATAATGAATGAAATTGAACATACAATATGGACTGAAATTGTCAAAAATAACATCATGCACCCCTTTTTGTTCTAATTTGAAAGTGGACACCTTGGAAACACTAAAATGCATGCACACATATATAATTGATATTAATTACATTAGAAAATAGATTTCAAAATTAAATAATATTTTCCTAGATAATTTGTTTTAAACATATGATTTTGATTCCTATGTAATCATGCATGTTTTACTTTTGTTCCAACAAAGTGCAACCTTAGCTTAGTAAGAATGATATTCATGGCGATTGATATATTTTCATTTAAAACACATAAATTATTTAAGACAACAATCATGTAAATTATATATATATATATATATATATATATATATATATATATATGGAAATAGGTCTTGTCATCATCTTTAGGCTAAAAAAGTTTTGTGGAAAGTATATAGAAAGGGACATGGAAAACTTCTACCTCATGTTCCTTAGCTTTCTTAAGTGACAAGGTGATGGCAAGTTTATCTTATCTTCCGTACAATAGCACATAAAATAATGAAGAATATATCAAAGTAACACGGAAAATTGGCATAAAAAAAGTAATTAAAATATCAAAATTAATTTTCAAAGAAGCATAACAACTCACATCATTGGTTTTTCATATTGATCCAATTATTTGAAATATTACTCACACAACTTCCGAACAAGAGAGGATTAATTGAACAAACTGCAGAAATCTAATTCACAATTAAACTCACTTTGACAATCTCAGCATAGGGCTAACTTATTATGAATGCCCTTTGAAGGGGTTTCGAAAAAAATGAGTCTATAAGCCAATAAGTGATTATAAAATTGTTATTGACGTTAGAGCTGGGTGGGACTTGGGAGATTATTATAAAATAAAATGGCGAGTATAGGAGTTAATCAAATAGTAAAAGAAAATGAATTTTAAGTGATAAAGTCGTTGTAAGTCATAAAATAAGATTGAAAGGAAGATATTAACAAGCTAGGGCCTAGCATTTAATTAAAACAATATAATAAAACAAGGCACAATCCAATGGATGAGGAGAACAAAATCTAATTAAGGATCTAAACCAGCCCCTCTTCTTCTTCTTCTTGTTCTTCTTAAGTAAAGAAAAGAAGAGGGGTTAATTTAAATAAGTGAAAATGCATGTCCGAATTGAAGACGAAATTATTTTTATTAATTAAATTACCAACTGTTCTTGATGAGACACAGCCTAGCTAGCTTCTTCGTTCTCATAGATTCCCATCGTTGTAGCCTTCCCAGCAAAATTTTCCAGAATAGGGGAACTCCCCAAATTGATGCTGCTGCAGTCATTGTTTTTGAAACAATATATTAGAGATCTATATTATTATCAAGCGCTTATCACTCAGGTCAGACAAGTTATGATTAGTAGTGAAGGAGTGCAGCTTTATTATTTCTTTACAGATTGCTATATATTATATTGTTCAGACATTTTGCTGGACTTGATCTTTACCGGCCTTCAGTCAATAATCTCCCAATCACCCATAAGATAGTATGTTGGATTTGACCTTCACCCGTTTTTAGTCAATAATCTCTCAGCCACCACCAGATATTATGTTGGACTTGACTTTTACCCGTCTTCGTCAATAACCCCCAATCACCCGGTGTTATGCTAGACTTGGCCTTTATTGGCCTCCGCCCAACAAAAATTATTGAAGATTGAAGAAAATTTGAGTAGCTTAGGGATTGAAAGTGACCTGGTGAGAAGTTGCAGCTGGTGGGAAGATGTTGGATAGGCTCCAGTTGTGTTCATGGATGTGCGAGGTGGCGAGTTCTTCCGCCGCCATAGGAGGCAGGGCTTGGTGGGAGGGAGGTTCATTATTGGTGGTCTTGACGACGTTATGGGTGGCGCCACCCATTTCCTGCCGCGGCGGCGGCGTTTCTCCCAACATTATGTTGTTGTTGTTCTTCATCTTGGTCCTCTCCCTCGCCCTCTCCCTGGCCTTGTTCCTTGATTCTTTAGCGAGGGGATTGAATGCGGCCCTAACGCGGCCTGCTGGTTTGGCCGCCGTCCCCTTCTTTTCCTTGCTCCCATGGGCGGCCATTGGGGGCTCAAATTCTTGATCAAGAACCCCCGACGCGGCCTCGCATTCTGAAGTGGAAGACGCAGCGCTGCCGCCGCCGCCTCCGGCGGCGGCGGCGCAGTGATTCTGTTGCTTGAGATCCTTGATTGCTAACCTGGAGTTGAGGAGCAGCCAATCCACCGTCTTGCTGGCCTTATCGAACCCCAACATGTCTTGGAGATCAAAGAATTTGCGAGCCACGTCAAGCGACAACCTCATCCTCCGGTCCCGAGGCCCGTGGGCCGTGTGGATCTTGCTGTGCCGGTCTTTCTTCGAACACTTCTTCTTCCCAACAACAACAACGTTGCTGCTAGCGCTGTTACTCTTCATCGTCATCATCATCGTACTACTGGAATTCTCAAAGTACTGCAGGTCGTTGCTGTTGTTGAGGATGCCGCTCTCCGCCGCGGCGGCGGCGGCGGCGGGTGTAATGGCGGCGAAGTTGTCTGCTTCTTGCTGGAGAAGGAGAGTATGGATATGCTGCAACAGAACATGCTCATCCTCGTATTGCATTGGAGATGTCGGAATGGGGGTGTTGTTATATATGAAATTGCAAATGTTTATAGTACTACTACTGCTGCTACAAGGATACATTATATATATAAATATATATACTATAATTACGTGGCCTGGGATCGATGATGACGACTACAATTATCTACGCAGCTTATTTAATATCAACTTCTTCTTCTTCTTCTTCTATTTGCTCCAAATCGCCTCACAGGTACTTGGTTGCCTATCATCATTCATCATTATTCATCATATCATACCTACATATATACCTACCTACAAGCTGCAACGAAAAAGACTTCATCTGAGAGGGACTCTTTTAATTGCATTATTCTATATCTATCTCTTTCATTCACTCAATCTTAGCTTTAATTTAATTTCTCCTCTTTTTCTCTTCTTTAGTTTCTGTTACATACTATATATACATACACTATAGTTGTGTGTGTGTCTGTGTGTACTGAAAGAGAGAGAGAGATGGAGGATTTACCAGAGGGACAAATTAGAGATAGATTTGTAAGTATAGATCGATAGAGAGCTGTACATCTTTCTCCACACTTGATGCCTTAGCTTTAAAGCAAAAGGTTTTGGGCAGGAGTTGGGTAGGGGGGGGGGGGTTCAATTCTTTGTGTTGGGTGCTCTTTCTACACTCTTGAAAGGGAGAGCTCAAATGGGGGTGGGGGTGGGGGTGGAGTTGGGGGGGGGGGGGGGAGTTGGTAATTGGAGAAGTCAAGTGATATTATGTTGGAAGAAATGAAATGAATGGATAAGAACATGAGAAATTTTATAATTTATAATGTTATAAACATCAAGTAAATAGTGTCTTCATAAAATAAAATAAAAAAGAGAAAGATAAATAGTGTAAAAATGTTATAATGTGATGATAAATTATATATATTAATAAATTAATAAATTGTATTATGTGTGACAATTATAGTTTATTAATATTAAATTATTTAATTCAGAAATTTTCATCATTAAATATAAAGAAATTACTTGAATATTAAATTATTCGTTTAAAATGATATAGGTGATTACTGTTATATATATATATATATATATATATATATATATATATATATATATATTTGATAATTTGTGGTAACATGTTACTTATAGTTGCTCTATTTCGCGTGATTTCAATTGTATAAATAATGTAAAAATGTCATGATATGATGATGAAATAAAGTACATTAATAAATTTTATTATGTGTGATGATTATAGTTTAATTTATTAATAATAAATAAATAATAATTATTGAATTACCTACTTCACGATTTTTTATCCTTACATATAAATAAAGTATTGAAATATTAAATTATTCGTTGAAAATGATAAATGACATATATGTATTCGATGATTTGTGATAACATAGCAAATATAATTGTACTATTTCACATCCTGTCAATGCCCACCCCTAACCCCACGCAAGCCTATCAAGATTTCCCATGTTGGTTAGTGTACTAGACTTGTAGCTTAGCAACTTAGAGGAACTTGCATGGATGTCATTTATGTTCTCCAAAAGCCATTGTTTTTCCTCCCTTTTTAAATAGCTTTGTATATTCCTTGTCACATAAATATGTACAATTTAACTTCCAATTATTGTACGACCATTTAATCTCCACGTCTCAAACATTAGTTTTAGGCCTAATTTGAGTTTTATATATGTGTGCGTGAATGTAACATTTTTTATTTAAATTGGTCAATTATGATCAGTAACATAAGCTTGTTTATTTTTTGTAGCTCGGTCTTTTGCTAGCTAGTTAAAGTGACAACTGACAAGACGGACTTCATCCAAAGCGCAGCGCACCAGTGGGTAGAGATTGTGATCTTTTTCATAAATCAAAGTATAAAAACACATGTATGCTTGTTAAATTTATCCACACATTTTTTTAAATATTTAAATTTACACCAAAAGAATTTTTTTTTTTCTATAGTTTATAAATGCAACGTCGTTTGTCATTGAAGAATAAAATTAAATGTCTATTGCAAAAATAATAGATATTTATCATGACAAAACTAAGGGTGTGTTTGGTTGGTGGGTTTTGTTCATAGGAATGGGTATGAAAGTGATTGTTGTTGTTTGGTTTATAGGTTTTTAGAACACTACTATGGGTTTTGAATACCCCATCAATTGAAAAACCCATACCCAAATACAATAAGGGTTTCATTCCCTTATTCATTCTCAAGCACTACTATTAGTAACAATTCTCATTCCACCCTACTACCAAATATGTTAAATACTTTCACCAAAACCCATTACCATTACTAAGTACTTGATACCCATTCCGATTCCGATTCCTATGTGCGAACCAAACACACCCTAAATGTTCATCATACATGCATCCAAATTAACTCTCATAATGCATCGGCAATTCTCAAGCAGTGCACACATTCATCTAGAAATTAGGCCTCATTGTACACAATAACCAAAACCAACTATTATCTGTTTAACTAGTGTTAGCTCGCTAATGAGACTCTTGATATTGGTGATTTAATCTTTTGGAAGTAGTGTTAGCCTGCTAGCTAATACTATGGTTGACTATGTAAAGGTCAATTTTTTTTCAAGCATATTCATCACTAGTAGACGCATGACATACATAAACTTGCTCGCATGGGTAGTTCAACTGGTCATAGAGGTGAAACTTTAGAATAATGACCAGGGATCGAGTCTCACCAGTGGTAGTGAGGGGGGCTTCTTTTGCGCATCCTTCCAAATGCTCTGTCGGGCCGGGGTGTGGGGGGCCCTTAGAGTTGGGGTTCAGCCTTTGGAATAATGACATGGTGACTAAAAGTTTAGCGGAAAAGGGAATTGGTGAATGGTTGTTAGGATCAAACAATTACCATTAGGCCAAATATTATAGCTGACACATGCTCTGTCGGGCCGGGGTGTGGGGGACCCTTAGAGTTGGGGTTCAGCCTTTGGAATAATGACATGGTGACTAAAAGTTTAGCGGAAAAGGGAATTGGTGAATGGTTGTTAGGATCAAACAATTACCATTAGGCCAAATATTATAGCTGACAATGAATGCACAACTTTATTTCTTTATGTACCGTCACTAGACTTGGCATTCCCCGCCTCAGCGCGCCTAACAATCCCCCTCCCCCCCACCCACCCACCCCCCCTCCTCGCCTCAGCGCGCCTAACAATCCCCCTCCCCCCCACCCACCCCCCCTATTTGCCAATCGTGAATGCTCCACTTTATTTTGTTATATACTGTCACATTTACAAAAAGTATAAGCTCAAACTTTCATTGGCCTCCACCTAACATTTTCCTAAACACCAATAACTAGACTTGATCCTTTATCGATCTCCTGTACCTCGCCAGCAATGGTGATATATGTGATGGAATTGCACGCACTGAAGAAACGTACACGTGGCGGGAGCAGGTTCGAGAAGTACAATTATATCAAGTTCTGAGCTAGGGAGGAGATAACATAACAGATAATAGCGACGTACAGTACAGTGGGGGTGAGTGAAATGAATGTATATATACATAGCAAAGAAGAATTGAAGAGAGGGTGGCGGGCATGGCAATTGTTATATCGTGGACCGCGGTTAAAACAGCGTCGTTTCTTTAAGTAAAGAAACGACGCGTCGTTATAGTTAACGGAGTGACATATTTGATGTATTCATTATCAACTGACAGTACAGTGTATCTAAACTGATACTATCTCACGTATTTTTTTATATATATATTATCAACTGAAACTGCAATTGAATTGAAATGAAACTGTAGGTGTGTTGAAATGAAACTGTAGTGTATATAAAATGAAACTGAATAACATTTCACATTTTTTAGTGTATATTGTGTAATGAAGTTGTAGTTATATCGAAATGATCATGTAGTTGGGTTTTAATGAAACTATGGTGTATATAAAATTAAATTAAATAACATTTTTACATATTTGGGTGTTATAATATCGAATCAAACTGTAGTTATATTGAAATGGAACTGTAGTTATAACAAAATGAAACTACAGTGTATACAAAATGAAACTGAATAACAGAGTTACTTTTTGCAGAATGACGCGGAAGGACATGAAACAAATGGCGTTTATTTTCATTAAATAAAACGACGTCGTTTTGACGCGCGATGCATAATCGATTATGCACCGCGGTGCACGATATAATTTGTCCAGGCATGGGGCACAGGCCTGGATTTTGGGCTGTGCAAGCTGGGCTACCGCACAGGGCCCCAAATTTTAGAAGCCCAATATTTCATTTTTACTTAGTTAGTTTAGAAATAAAAACTAAAAGTTTTCAATTAAATTTAAAAGGCTCCATAAAGAAATGGTAGGAACATGTGTTTATTGTATTTCAACTTTAAAGTCTAAGGTGCAAAACTTGTGCACATTACTATTATTGTTATATATAATTGTAATTTATTCCATAATATTATTATTATTATTATTATTATTGTTGTTGTTGTTGTTGTTGTTATAATTGTAATTTATTCCGTTTCGAGCCTCAGTTGTAGGCGTAGATTGTATGGGTATCCCCTTCCTTTGTCATAAAAATTATAATTGTAATTTATTCCATAATATGTCTTTTGGCTTTTTCTTTGCGTACAGTAACACTTTACCACCTTATTATTATTATTACTAGTATTTTTACACGTGTGTTGCACGAAATAGATTTGTTATAATCTTTAAGAATTTTTTGGTCAATATACAAATATAAATTATAACAACGAATATTATATAGTGCAATCGATGAAATGAGTTGTAGCGATTATGTTTTTTGATGTTATCCTTGCTTGAATTCGAGCAAATAATTGCCCAATTATCCGTGCAATGTGCGTGCAATGCATGTGCGATGCACGGATAAAATTTTTTATTATATATTTAAATAATAAAATTGTTACTATTTCTTTAATCCTTTCGAAAATTTTTACGTATCAATGCAGAACACTACTAAAATTTTTCGTATGAGCAGAAACAGACATGGGGGCCCGTTTCTACATTATAGAGAAACGGTCTTCCCGAATATGTTTTTCCTTTGATATCCGATTAGAATAATATAGACTAGAAAAAATTACGACATTGATTTTAAAAATTTTGATTTTGATAAGGCCTCATTTATTTACCTGAACCGAACTACAAAAATCTAAAAACCAGCCTGGGCATCTATCCATTTCTGCAAACCCCCTGTAGCCTGTAGGCTGTAGCAGCTGTAAGCCAATGCCACAACTTTTGACCACTGAGAGAAAAAAGAGTAACAAATACGAATGTCGCTTTCACTAAAAAGAGAAACCATCTCTCTCTCTCTATTTATCTATCTCTCTCTCTCCCCACCCCTTGTCACTGTAGGTGCATCTATATGGCATGGACATGTCTTTCCACCCAAAATGACCCTCATCACCCAAGTCTATGTTGTGAGGTCGGTCATGAGATAATGGCTGGGTGGATAACGTGTTTGTCTTCCAAGCCAAACAAAATACTATAATAAAATGGTAACTTCTTCAGATGCTTAAAGATACATGTACAAACGTGTAATTACAAAGTCACAAGGTCAAATTTCAATCTTCTGATTTAAAACAATCAAGCTATGGACAACATAGGTAGTTTATATTGGAAAAATAGCATTAAAA